CTCCACCCATTTGCGACAACAGCACAAATAGTACCAGCAATAATTTACAAAAACTATAATAATTTGTTTTAAAAGACCAAGACGACTATAACGACAATAACAACAGGAAGTTATCAAGACGTCAGGTCGCCTGTTTATTAAGAAAGTTAAAATCGATAACGGGACGCTCCAATTTGTTCTAGGGAGTGAAAAAATGAAGAGGCAGCTGCGACAACTAGACCAGCTATTTCTGTCACTTGGGTAGCAACAAGTAGTCTACAACGTAACGACATTGTCGTCAAGAGGAACACAAAACCTACAAGCAAAAAAGTCAAACAGGATCAATAAGAAAACAATTTCCGACTGAAATAAATGTTTCTCTTTCTTTTCTTCCTTCCTTTCTTTTTCTTCTCCTTTTTCTTCTTCTTGTTCTCCTTCTCCTTTTCCTACTCCGTCTTCTTCCTTTTCTTCTTCTTACTAATATTATTGTTTAGTAATTATTTTTTAATAACGCTATTTCTGTCTTTTAAAATTTTCATCAAGGGAAAATGATAACAGGACTATTCAGAGAAAGAGGTTTATGTACTGAAATAACACCATTAATTAATCATTCTTTCCATAAAGAGCTCACTACAAAGTAATGAAAATACCAAATGTTTCGACCAACTTAAATATAATTTTTTTGGTTTATCTGACGTTTTGTTTAAGTAACGAGAAGAACATCGACACAATGACAGTCACTTGGCGCAGGGAAAAGGAAAACTAGTCAGAATTAGTAGAGGAGAAAGAAGGGCCTACCAGTGGCGGCCTGGAACCCCCGGTGTTTTTGGAAATGCTAAACGTTTCGTTTATACAAAAGGGTATGCAATATTAACAACAACATCAACAAAAACAATAGTATCAACGACAAAGACAATCACAAAATGACAATTGTGAAGAGTTTTAAAAGGCTCAAAATTACAAATTGTCACTAAAGAAAAAAGTACACAAACAACAAATGGGGCGCACGATTAGGTCAAGTGGTGTCATGCTGGACTACGAAGCGGACGTCCCTGGACCAAATCCTCAAAAGAGCGTTCTGACCGTTGGTTGTTCTAGTGAGATTTAAAGGCTCTCCACCTATTTGGCT